CTGTTTTTGACCATGACATTGATAACTTCTTGGCTGCGAACGAAAACGAAAACACAATGAAAAAGACAAAATTGGACATGAATCTTGTTTATAGATTTCTCCGCGAGTGTCTTAATGATCCAAGACAGCTTGAAGACATTGCCCCCCATGAACTGAACACTCTCCTATGTAAAAAAAATATATCGGCAAGAAAATCTGATGGTTCGGAGTATGAACCGTCTTCCCTCCGGGGAATAAAGGGTAGCATTGAACGCTATTTGAAGCGTAAAGGCTACTCACTTGTGTTAGCCGAGTCAATGCATTTCATGAAACTTAGGGAGGTTTTGAAATCAAAACTCAAGTCATTACAAAAACAAGGTAAAGGAAACCTACCATTCCGTGCTGATCCTGTATCCGACACTGAATTACAGAAACTCCGTGAATGTGGCCAACTAGGCACTAGCACGCCAGATTCCATTTTAAACACATCATGGTGGAACAACACCGGCGACCTCACATAGGTGTATGAAATGGGGTGATGCAACTGGTGGTAACAGATCTTCCAAACTATACATGCTAGCTTCATCAAATTTTGTACACATATCAAGCATGATCCCTAGATGTGCATTTTTGGGTTTAGACCCAGATATGAATTTTATTTTTTGTGGTTTCCATGGAAACGTGACTTAGGATGTGACTATGAGGATGTCATCTTGTTGCATTTCCATGACTTCAACTGAATTTGGTAGTAGTGCTCCTCTCTGAAGCAGATCTTAAAAATCTTTCAATACTCTCCTTCCACTTTGCTGTATACACTCCAAAACATTTGACATAATCATAACTAGTAGACATATTTATAAAGAGTATTTTGCCGTTGCAGGGGATATTGATGACTTTGTAAGAGTTACTTCCCTTTGTTTTGCTTACGGCGGAAGACAATGGGATTCCCGTAATTTCTGTGTTCTATTTTGCTGGTTTAATGGGGACTCACAAGCCTTTTTATCTCAGTAATTTAAATACCGTAACAATATTTATAAACCTTTATTATTGACGATAAAATTACTGTCGAATCTGTTCATCCGTATACATGGGTTGTGAAAACAATAACATGGAATGGAATTAGGATACGTAACTTTGTACTTCTATGTCAGGTAGAGATCAAAATCAGCCAGAGAAAAGTACAAATCTGAAAAGTCCCTAATAGCTTAAGGCGGCAGTTGACACCTAGGGTTTTGTTTTTTGCATAGATCACGAAAGTAGTACCCTTTCAAGATGGTGCTGACAAACACAACACTTCGACCATGGTTAAACTCACACAATACGTAATATTGAGTGAGTGAGTGAGTGAGTGAGTTAGGATTTATAGTCACATCGTCAATATGACTTGAACAATTTTCAACTCATAATAAGTGCAATCAAATTATAAAAAAAAAAACTGTTGACGAGGGACAGTAAAATAACCATATTATCTCAGACAGAGAATTAAAACTAGCATGTATCTGTAAAATAAACACATTTTATGAACAATACAATATATAAAAACGTGATAGAGATCAAAAGCAACTGACCATGGGGACTTACAGCACCTTTGCTATCTGCATGGCAAAACATAACACGTAACAACACAAACAATATTTCCCAACCTGGTGTTTGTGTGCACACAGTTTCATGACAGATATGGTCAAGTGAAATACACCACTATTGACAGGGTCAAAGTCAAACGTGTTGTCACGGAACATAAAATAACCAACATTTTCTTAAAATTCCTAAATAGCAAAAGGCACCAATTCAACCCTTGGTTAGTACATGGTTTTTCAGTCGTCTTCATACAAAACCCAATCCCACTTTTTTGAGACAAAGTAAAAAATCGTCTCCATGTATTTTTTTTCCAATGCCAAAACCCCTCAAACACACAAGGCAGTACTTCTGTTCTTATCTGTTTCATAAATCTGATTTTTTTCTATTTATGTACCCACTAAGGAGGGCAATAATTCTACAGTACCTTAACCCCATTTGAGGATGCTGCTCTTAACGATCTTAGCTGATCATTTAAACTACTAATTATAAAATATCTATCTAATTGAACAGCTATAATCAAGTTTATCTAATTACTCTATTTCTTATAAAAAGGCAATGATTAACTTTGAATGAATTTTAAAAAGATCCATGAATACTGAAATCATGCAATAGTTACTCCCTCTGCGGGATAAAAATCACAACAATCAGGCAGGGCATGCCTGACCGTGCTGCTATCATCATAGGGGATACAAACCGGAGGACCCTCGCCTATTAATAGATATTCATGAGCATATCTTGTATGACCAGTGCGAAATCGTCACATAACGACCTCTTCAACTGAATGACAACCTAAGTAAGTGTAGATGGTTTTGTTTGATGTAATTTATTTATACCTATTTGGGCGTTCCACTTATTCATCACTACATCACAGATGTAAGATCTAATCCCAGGTATAAAACCGGGATATGGGAAGAGAAAAGGTGTCACAGATTTATCGAGTGATGCTCCCAGCAAAATCCCCATTGTGTCAATAGAAATAACAACATGGCTGGGTAACAAAAAGAGGAGTGAGTGAGTGAGTGAATGAGTTGAGTTTTACGCCGCACTCAGCAATATTCAAGCTATATGGCGGCGGTCTGTAAATACTCGAGTCTGGACAAGACTATCCAGTGATCAACAGCATGAGCAGAGAGCTGCGCAATTGGGAACCGATGACATGTGTCAACCAAGTCAGCGAGCCTGACCACCTGATCCCGTTAGTCGCCTCTTACGACAAGCATGGGTTACTGAAGGCCAATATTCTAACCCAGCCCTTCACGGGTTAACAAAAAGAGGAAGATATCGTAATGAGAGTGTTTATAAATATATTTAAGATCTGGTAATAGGGGGTTGTTTTTGCCGTGAAAAAAAGTCGTTATCTGGTAATCTAGAATCTGTTCTTGATCCAATGACAGTGGCACAAACAACAGTGTCACCATTACTGGATTTAATGTGTTAATCCCATTTCTTGTATGCCCCGCCGTGATATTGCTAAATTATTGCCAGAAGCGGCATAAAACCATAGTCACTCACTCACGACATTTGGTGGCTATATATACTCTTGAAAAAAAGTAGGGGAATCTGAACTTTCAATTTGGATAGGAAGTATAAGCGTTAACAAACTTTACAATGGCAGACATCTTATGAATGCACCACCATTTCTCTTTATCATCACCCCTAAACAGAACGCATAAGATGCACTTGCACAACGCAGTAGCTCACAAACGTGCATGGGTGTCATTCCTGATTCTGAGGCTTTTCCAGAAGATCGATAACTCACTGGTGACCATTAATTTTGACAATCATCTTGCAGCACACTCTTGTTAGTGTTTGTTTCTAGCCTTTTTTTTCCAAAATGAAAATCGTACACATGCAAATTTCACATGATACACCATTCATCTTTCAAGAGCCATTACTGTAGAAAAAACTATGGCCATTCATTATTATCATATCAACATTGATTGACTCTGGTACATCTTCCACTTGTTTCAACCGTAAATTAGATATGAAGTTCCCCTACTCTTTTAAGAGTATATAATGTTGTTGAGAATTTCTTTCAGTCTTATTGAAATTCAATAGGAAATGTATACAGTAAGAAAAGACCATTACTCATTGGAGTCACAGCAGTCTCAGCGCCAGTTTGAAACACTTGAACTTCCTGATATACATGTACATTGGCGATGTTCTGAATACTTGATACAAGCATAACTCATCTTTATTTTCTAATGTGATAGTGCTGAAATATTGCTAAAAGCGTTGTAAAACCGAATTCACTCAGTCCCAAATTCTAAGTGATTTTAATATGTACGGGGCACATCATATAACCACAACAGGCTGTTGAGAATTTAATTCAAATCCTTATTTTATAGTTTATGATAATCATTTTTCAACCAGAAGTTTGAACTTTAATGGTTTATTATAGAAATGACTTCTCCCTTGCAAAACTATATAATGATGTCCCCCGCTATGCAGAGCGCGGAGTTTTCATGTAGCCGAGTATCACTCGCCTATGAGCAATTTTGTGTAAAGACACCACGCTTCAGGTATATATTTTTTATTTTATGTCAAGACATAAGCTTAATATGGTAAAGTAACAACAAATTGTGAAAATTAAATGTAAATTAATGTGGTTGTAGTGTTTGTTTTACACAGTGTTCTCAGTTTTCGTGCACTGCGATGTGCGAGGTAAACATTCATGTGAATTTGTAAGCTACATATGAGCGAAGTAGTTGTCATTCATGTCTGAGCGGTGTTTCGTGAGAATTGTTCAATATAATTTGCTAGAATTTTCACAAAGAGTTAATTTTGCATATTTTTGTGGAAGACGTAAAGAGCAGTGATATTGATACACCAGTGTCGGTGTCAAGGTATAATCAGTATTCAGCAATAGATTGGATGCATTGGCTATTTATCTCAAATACATCACATAATTTAATAGTATATAACTTTTTATGTTCATGTTAAATGTGAAGGGATGAGTGTTATTAGCACTATCACAGCTTATTTCAGAACGTACAAGATATTCAGCTATCAACTAAAGCTTGCTGTAAGCAAGTGTGTGATGGGAATAGTTAGAAGATTATTGCACAAATTGTTGAGTTCTCTTTGTCTTACGCACCAAATATTTTACTTTTTGAACTCTCGTACAGCTGCAGTGTCAAGAATCTACAAGAAGTGTCAGTTAAATATGTCCACACCCCATATTCCACCTGGTTTAGCTCCGCACTCGGCAATATTCCAGCTATATTGTGACGGTCTGTGAACAAACACATCTGGAGCTGTGATCGTGGAGGTTTGAACGTATCGTGTTTTGTCTTAAACAGGATAGCAAACGTATAGTGTTGAAAGGGGAAACTTTGACTTTGACCTTGGATGTGATTGTGGTGAATATGTTTTCAATAGCGGTTTAGCGGAAGGGAAATGAGATATATTAATTCCGTTTATATCGATTCTATGTTGATGTGTCATGACTGCTCTGAAGTATAAACCGAACTAAATGCAACCACAAAATTAGGGCTTTTCAATATTTATTGTCAAGGACAGGATTTCCGGCTATGATGTTTAGTGGGTATGTATGCATCTGTTAAGGCAAATGTGTGGGTTTTGTACAGAAGGTCAGGCAACACATAACACACAACAGGCCGGTGATACCAGAACATACTAAACACACATAAATATACCTAAGAAGGCAACTCAGTAAGTCGCCGAACCTGATCAAATGATCAGTTTCAGTGGCATCTCATAATAATAATATGTCACCGAATCTAGCATGGAAATCCCACGGATTTCTACTGAGAGAAGTAAAGGCACACCGCGATGACAGATTAACAGCATTGTCCACTGCATACTTGAAGTACTTATTTGAATTGACAACTCTATAAAATGAGTGCAGAATATATTTACTTACTTTCCTTCTGTTTCTTTCTGCGCCTAAAATAGAAACGAAAAACAAGAGCAACAGTTATCTACAAGATTAATATTGGTAAATGTAAACACCTTAAGGACGCTTCTTTACCAACACCCATGAGCCTCAGATGACTGACATGCATGGGGTTCTGTAAACTAGTTCAGCATTGAAAACGGGTAAATTGCAATACTGCATCAACTTCGACTGCATTATTTGTGACAGGGTAGCTTGCCATCCTCTTAAAACCATGTTACTTGAATCATGTTTGGTGTCCGATGTTGAGACTGAACCACAACATTTTTGCATGTGTACCAAAAATACTCTTTAATAAAATACTGTCTAACTCTCTTTTTGTCATGTAAGGCATTAAACTTAGAAACGTGTCCGGCTGTTCGAACAGCCATGATGATCTATTCCGAACCAAAGGTCTGTCATAACAAATCAGCTATGGATGAAGTGTCATTGCTTGGCCGAATTGGGGATTTTTTTCTATGTGAATAGGAAGTTAATAAACTCTCTAGTTGTTCCTGTCTATCAAGGATGCAAACAAACCATAAGGTAATATTTCTTTAAACTGTTATTTGATTAGTTGTTTACAGTATGCTCAGAATAAAAGTCGATTAACATGAATTTTCATGGTCAGTTGTTTGTGAAACACAATAGTATATGTACATTCATATTGCTATATATGCCTTTCTTGTAAGAATAATAGATAAAAATACTTTTCATCATTATGGACGATCGATCGACTTTTTTCAGTTAATAATTGTCAACTTTACTAAAGGTACAAACGTATTAAGACACATGAGGCATGTGGATTCAAGTGGTTAACTTGTGGAAGAAACCACAGTACACGTACTTTGGCAAAACAAATGATACATCGTTCTGGTATAAAACATATACAATAATATGGCCACTTCTGAATTTGTAGACCCGTGGAGATATCCGTGTTAGGTTGATCATCAGTATCCAATGGGACTAGCGGGATCGGGTGGTCAGGCTCGCTGAATTGCCTGACACATGTTATCGTATCCCAGCTGTGTAGATCTATGTTCACGATGTTTAACATTGGATTGTCTGGTCCATATTAAGAAAGTAAGAATATTTATGGATAACAACTTCTTTATTATATATGATGCGACGTTTCGGTATGGATTCTTATACCGTTGTCAAGCAAGAGTGAAGTACTACAGCACAGACCAGGCTTATATACATGAACAGGGATTAAGTAATAACAACATGTAGGACTGAATGAGGGGGATTAACAATAACAACAAGGCACGGTGGCAATAATGTAGTGACAATAGGAAGCCAATGGTGGTGGATGTAAAAAACAAAATATACATGCTGATGAGATTAATTAACAATGATGGCTGCGGTGCTCTAATCTGTTGTTTTTATGAGATCATTGTATGCAGAAGGGATGAGATATCCCTGGTCTCTGTTGATTGAGGGCTTGTGTCTCCGGATTTGTACTGCTTCTGCAAGTTTCCTTTTGGTGAAGTCCTGGTGGTTTTTGGATAATATGTCCACATTGTCCCAGCACCTATTCGTATCTCCCTCCCCTTCATAGGGAAAACCTCTCACCACATCAGCCGTCTCCTCAAGCGAGAAGCAGGCATCGAAACCTACTTTACCAGCTCTACACCACTAAAAACCCTACTGAAAGCGAATGGCAGGAACACCTCTAAACGACAACATCAACCCAAAGGTGTTGTCTATAAAATCAACTGTGACTGTGGCGAGGCCTATGTAGGCGAAACCTCCCGGCCCATAAATATCCGAATCAAAGAACACTTATCATCTACCACTAAATCTGATAGAAAATCGGCATTATCAGACCACATCATCAACTGCCCCAATCACAACATAATTTGGGACAATGTGGACATATTATCCAAAAACCACCAGGACTTCACCAAAAGGAAACTTGCAGAAGCAGTACAAATCCGGAGACACAAGCTCTCAATCAACAGAGACCAGGGATATCTCATCCCTTCTGCATACAATGATCTCATAAAAACAACAGATTAGAGCACCGCAGCCATCATTGTTAATTAATCTCATCAGCATGTATATTTTGTTTTTTACATCCACCACCATTGGCTTCCTATTGTCACTACATTATTGCCACCGTGCCTTGTTGTTATTGTTAATCCCCCTCATTCAGTCCTACATGTTGTTATTACTTAATCCCTGTTCATGTATATAAGCCTGGTCTGTGCTGTAGTACTTCACTCTTGCTTGACAACGGTATAAGAATCCATACCGAAACGTCGCATCATATATAATAAAGAAGTTGTTATCCATAAATATTCTTACTGTCTTATTAGTCACCAACTTCTAAATGCCAATCAAACAGATCACTGGTCCATATTATTAAGAGTTATTTTCATATGACGTAGCTCGACACAGATTTGTCATTTCAATGAATAAAGGACGATTATTTCAGGCCACTGTCATATAGCTGGAATTCTTCTGAGTATGATGTTAAAAGATAGGCAAGCAATACGAAGCCAAGCTATTCTTTGAGATTTCATGAATTCATTGATCTTTTTACGATAAATACAGTAAGGGCAGAGCCGAAAAGGACAGAGACTGTGGCGATGACCTGGGTTTCAACATGTTTCACTCATGATGTGTTTAGTTTATTGTGGTCACGGTTTATTCACTGTCGCACTGATCTATCGGAGGTAACTCCACATTGTGTATTTCCTTCTTCATAAATCATGTTTAATGAAAACCTAGTGTTCAGGATATTTCCCAATTACTAATTCATTTTCATATCAACTGTCACAAGTGGTGACCCTGAACCGGACGATAACAGCCAAAGGATACTCCCATCAAGGCACACAGATCATTCTTATCCTTGACCAGATAGGCACATCACAATGATTGTTAACTGAAGCGGGATTTTCAGTTCAAGTCTGTATTTTGTCCCGATTAATGGGATCGGCTGGTTCATATGGCTGATGCTGTCACCCTGTGCCTGTTGTGTTGATCGATGTCCATGATATGGATTGTCTGTCTGGCTGTCAATTATTATTACTCGCCCGTGGAAGATAATGTAGTGTACTATTTCTACGGCAATATTGCTCTAGTGTAATATCGCTAGACGTATCATATCATAGTTATGATGTCACACTGCTATAACCTCTATCACAGTGGTATTGAACCTTGCTGAGGGCCATCCCACTGTAGGCAGATTCTATCAATTTATGTTTGAAAGTAACAGACAGAATACTAAAATTGTTAACGTGAAATACCATTTTTAATTAATATCGTATAATAAATATGGTATTACACGATGGTGAATTAATTACAGGCTACTATCATAAAACTGGCATATTGCCAACTGGCGATAAACAGCAAATGAACAAAACAAAGAGTTTGTTAGAACTTACCATATGAAGATAACCACTGCGCCCACAAGGATAAGGATAAGGACAAGTACTGTTACAACAACTGGAATGACGACCTGAGAACTGCTTGTCGGTGCCACACCTGTGGTAACGGTTGTGCTACTGCTATAGGCAGTACCTGCGCAATGATATATAAAAGCATTTATGAGAACTTGAACATACGAAGTCCACAACGCTGAAAAACAGAAGAGACGATAGCGGTTAAGCAGTTCCACACATCTTGGTAACATTTTATACATGACACTCTGAACATTGTACATCTATTAAAATATAATACAGCTTTTGAATTAAGTGTATCAAGATGATATTGGAAATGGATGCAATTTCACATTTGTCGTCGTTTGCATTAGATGTTCAGCTTTCTCTCATCTTATATTAATGTTTTAAACTTTTTTAACCTTGATGCACGGTGGTAATCTCTTTCAAGGTCTCACAGAAGTCGCCGATGTAATTTTCTATGCAGCCCAGAGTGCAGTACCCATTGTGCTGATTACAGGTGAGATCTTTGCAATTTCTGCTGCACGGTTGATCACACCGGTCACCGTACACTCCCGCTTTGCATCCTTCAAAGCATTCTCCAGTTTCTCTGCCACAGAGCACTATGTCATTGGGAAGAGGTTTACAGTCTGGAGAACAGGTCTGCGTACATTTATCCCCATATCTTCCAGGCTCACATACGTCTTCACCTTGTACAGTCAAACCTGAAATACATTATAGGTGATCCAGATTTCAAGTTTAGTCATAGCACAGATCACATACCCTTCAGACACATGCTTTAATATAAGGACAATTATGCCAGAAATCTGAACGTAAACGAATTCGGTGTGAAACCAACAATCAACAAGAAAATGTTTATCAATTTTAAGATTAGCTAACTTCACAAATTAATGCAAAAGAATTGTAACAGTGGCAAAGCAGCTCTGTGGTAGATCGATTTGTTTTTAGTTTTACTATCGTTATTGCACATGCGAGAAATTCTGTTTTGTATTTCCATTTTGTATGTCATAATGATTTAAGGTCGCAGTAACACTTGTTGCCATGCGCACCTATCGTTTTGCCATATGGCATTGGCATTCATTGTGTAAGAATGTTCCAACTTTAATGTATTGTATATAGGGCTACGAGGGGCTATCAAAAAGTTGTGAGCCTAAAATATTTAGAGGGAGAACATCGATACAGTCACCATTTATTTCTCAACATAATCGCCTTGTAATTCGATGCTCTTGGTCCATCTTGTCTGCCAGGCCAGTCGAATCTCCTACCACGGGAGTGCTTCTTCAGATTAGGAAACAGGGTAGTCACTAGGTGCCAGGTATGGAGAATATGATGGGTGGGGTAGGATTTAAATACACATTCTTCGACAGCAGCCAGTGCAACACGACTGGTATGGACTGGAACGTTGTTGTAAAGAAGAAGAACGTCAGGCCTGAGTTTTGTCACGATTGTCTCACTTTCTTCAGTAGGGTACCATAATATCCCCGTGGAAGATAATCTGTGAGGATCACGCCTTCGCGATTCCGAAATGTGGTGACTATAACCTGCCTGGTCGATCTGGATAACTTGAACTTCTTGGTCGAGGCAGACTTGGCATGCTTCCACTCCTTCGATTCCTGCTTGCTCCCAGGGCCATAGTGGTGAATCTACGTCTCATCACAAATAACAAACCTAAAATGAAAATCATCTGGGTTTTGTTTGTATCTTGTTATCTTGGCATTATTTATGGTGATCATCGTGAGCTTAAATTTCGCTGTTGAGCATTCTTGGGACCTATCTTGTGCAAACGTTACACATGTGGATATGTTCATGCAGGATGGTTACAGCTGATCCATATGAGATGTCATTGTCTCCTCTAACGTATAAACCGCTATGCAGCTGGAATATTGCTGAGTGCGGCGTAAAACTAAACTCACTCACTAAAACTCTAACTGATAAATGGAGATTCGACAGTTGCTCATAGTCAGGGTGTGCACCTGGTAAATGTTTCCCGGGCTGGTGCAGGTTGTGGGCCAACCAGGACGCGGGTCATCTTCAAGACCCTCTCTACCGCACTGGAATTCCCTCATCCATCACATGATGGTTGCAGATGAGGGCAAGACCCCCAAAATACTGCTGGCAATCTCTCTTCAATGTGCTTCGCCGGGTGGTTATCGATGACCAAAAACGTTTTTTATGACTGCTCTGTACTCAACCTGATCCATTTCTGCCGTTTCAACAGGGGTACATGTGATTAGATGTGACATGACCGGAAACTACGATTGTGAGAATGACATTAACCAATCTACAATATCATATAGTTATTTTTAACATGCACATATCAGAAGTATTTTAGGCTCAAAACCTTTGAATAGCCCATCGTAGTCAGTGATGGGTATATTTAGACCGTAGTTCTGGATGGTACATTTGGAACTACAACTTTACGGGCTACTCCTCTATATTCTGACACAGACAGTTGTAGATTTGGTCGATTCTCATTTTACATCTCAAGTTACACAAAAACCAGCAACTGTGTGGATATTGCAGTTACGTTAATGTTCCTATTTCAGTCTGCATTGTTATAATCACTGCTTTTGTATACTGGCTTTGGATTTGCACTGCCACTGTAATATATTTGTAGTGATTTGGAATAGGCAGTTCTTTGCTGTTTGTTGGTTCCGTACCGGTTCTTCTGCAGACTGATTTCCATTCGGCTTCTTTTAGTTCCAATGTGGGAATCAACAAGTAACAATGTCTGAAACGTTTTCATTTCTGAACGAGATAATAAAATAAGTAATGAATAAAATGTAAATGAATCTTGTTGGCATAAATATAATCTTTTTTCATTCAAGTAGATTTCGAGTTTTTAATTTTGTGCAAAACTGAGAGAATGTATGTGTATAAATTGAAATGGTTAATTTGGTTTCCTCAAACTGGCAGTCAATCTAACACAAAGTCTTCTTCGTAACAATTGTACCAAGTTGTATTCCTGAACTTGATGATAACGGCCAGAAATATACCTCTTCCAAAACACGCTTCAGTCTCGAGATGCCTGTCGAAACAAACTTGTCATCATGGTAAGTTGAATGATTGATTTGATTGTTTAATGTTTAACACTGCATTCAGCAATACTCCTCCTGACCAGTGGCAATCTCCAGCTAGCGAGCAAAATAAAGGAGATAGGTCTACCAATGTTGCCAGACTTGAAAGTGCGAGACAATATGTCATTTTGGTGCATTTCCATGGTAACAATGATATTTTTTCAGAGAACATCGCAGCTACATATAAAGGAATATATCTTGACTTTGAATAGTGATTTTAACATATTTGAGAATGCACGTGCTGATCCCAGCACTGCTCCACCAAACCATGTAAAGCAATAAGGTCATGGTCAAAGGTCAAGGTCACAGCAATCCTGTTTGTTGCTATTCTTGCTTGAAATTCTATGTATAACATTGCATCTCTCTTAGATGCTAAGTATGGAATAAATACAGCACCATGTATTTGGTATCATGAGGCACTTCAAAGACTCAGCTTTCTGACAATACATTTCAGACGAGTAATTGGTAGGACACGTGCGATTCAGGGCGTTTCCATGGTTATCATGCATTTTTAATTATATCATAGAATGCATTATATCATGCCTTTATGTAACTAAATATTTTGCTTTTCAAGAATGTTTACTGGTGTTCATGATATCCTGATCCATGGGTGATACATTCGTGTGCTTAAACACCTTCAAAGTCAAAGGTCAAGGTCACATTTATCAAGTTTGTAGCAAATGTGAACTAAACTTCAATATTTCCTCATAAATTGTTGGTATGTCAACACAAATGAGACTAATTACATTGATCCAGAGCTCAGAATCACTATTTTACTAAACCTATTGTTTTGGGGGCGTCACCGTGGCAACCAGGACTTTCAATGACATACTCTATGTGAATAAATCAAAGACAATATTATCTCTTTGATTGATCCATATGTTTTAGTGTGTGCTTGTGTAACACACAACTCAAATGTCTACAAACATGGACATGCAAATTGTTTAAATGCTAAGGGCAAGTGAACATACTTGACAAGTTAAAAAACACGTCAAATGTTTAATGCATCATTTCGTATATCGTATAACGTACAAATTGTACTTGTATAAACATTTCACACACAAGTGATTGCAACTTACACCATCTATGCACATGAGGTAATGGAGATATTTGCTAAAATACAACATTTTTCCTTCAACATTTCCTTGAAATCCTGTGGTAACATTATTAATCAATATATTGTAAAATGAGTCCATGGTATGGACAGAGAATGATAAATAAAACACTTTTAAAAAAAAAAGTATTTTGTTCTCATTGACCTTTAACCCCAATTTGTGACCTAATTATGCATTTTTGAGCTTAGCAAACTCCAGATTCGTATTCAGCACGAAGAACTACCCCCGAATATGTGGTTTGCTTGCTTTTACTAAAAAATGCCTCATACATTTATATTTCTGAGAAATTTGACTAGTCTATCTGGTGGTATTAGTTTTCACCTTTACTGATGTTTGTTTTATCCCATTCAGTTCATTATTTGGATTATTATTTGGATTATATGACATCCTGACATCAATCCATGATGATCTGGGTTAGAATTTGTCTTCAATCCATGCCTGTCGTAAGAGGTAACTAACAGGATCACGTGATCAGGCTGGTTGACACATGTCATCGTATCCTAACTGTGTAGATCGAAGCTCACGATGTTGATCACTGGATTGTCTTGTCAAGACACAATTACTCACATATACATCATCAGCGTCATATACCTGTAGCTGGAATATTACTGAGTGCTGCGTTAAACACGAAGCCAGGAAACATCCTGACACCAACGTTACATTTGTATTGAAATTTTATAAAGGATTATTCCATCTGTAAACGGGCCTTCACACTTATTTCGAATTGATAGGAATCAAGGAGAATCAGCCAGAAAATTCGAACCGCATATGGGAAAGAATGTCAAAATAAACACTTTTTTGAAACTTGGTATTAATGCTTTTGGAATACTTAGAACGCACTTTGAACCCGCCTCGAATAATTCTTACTAATTCCAAATATACTAAATCACGAATGCAGCTCGAATGAATCGGAATACAGTAGGTATAATTATAATGCCGTTAGAATACACTAAGAATCCTTAAAATGAATTTCGACTGCAGTAGGAGGCCGGTTCGATTGCTGCATGAATAGCACTTGAATTTCAAATGGAACGTACCTCGAATGCTGTACGAAATTACATAGAATGCATTCAGAACCCCCTTGGAATGACCCCCGAATATGAATAGAATGTTAAAGAATTAAAACAGAATGCAGCTAAAATATTTTACATGTCCTTCAAATGCACTTAGAATGTAACACAAATGTCCGAAATGCATCAAGAATGCTGCCGGAATGTTTTAAGATGGGGTATAAAAACATGTTGAATCTGGACTATTCATCAGTCTCTGCCCAACTCCTATACAGTATGGACCCCCTGGATCATGTTGCGTTGCTCCAGATTGCTGTCGTCCAGCAAGCCCTGATTGAAAGAGATGTGGAGGAGACCAGGCGAAGAAACAGGAGAAGACCCAGGAGATTCCAGACCAGACCATGGCTGACAGAGGAAAGGAGGAGGCTGTATGGACATTACATGGAGGAGCTCCGAGTTGGGGACACGCAGTCATTCTTCAACTACCTTAGTATGGAGTCTCCCATGCTTGATGAGTTGGTGCAGAAATTTGGACCAGGAATATAAAATATATGAGATATATATGCGAAAGGCGCTACCTCCCGACTTCAAGCTAGACATAACATTGAGGTTCCTGGCTTCAGGTGATAGGTACCCCAGCATCATGTACAGCTTCCGCGTGGCAAGGATAACAATCAGCCTTATGATCCCAGAAGTATGTAAGGTCGTTGTGGAGGAATACAAGGATGAGGTTATCATCTGCCCTACCACTCCAGAATAATGGGCACCCATTAAAGGGAGGTATTCAGAAACAGGTGGAATATTCTTCATGCCATAGGAGCTTTAGATGGCAAACATGTGGCCATTAGGAAACCTGCCAAGGGCGGCCCATTGTACCATAACTACAAGGGCTTCTTCCCTGTGGTCCCCATGGCCCTTGTGGATAGAAATTACAAGTTCCTGTGGGTGGATGTTGGTGCTTACGGAAGTATGTCTGATGCTCAGATCTTCAACGAGTGCGAGCTCAAAGATTGCCTTGAGCATGGGATTTCTTGATCCGTCCCCCTTACCCTAAGATGACGAGCGTATGTCATGCTTTATTCTGGAAGATGATGCCTTTGGAATAAGGGGCTTCTTGATGAAATCGTCTGGGCATAGTATATCCAGAGAGTCGAGAGAATCTACAACTACAGGATCACCAGGGGCCGACGGGAAGTAGAAAATGCATTTGACATCATGGCCCAGAGTTGGAAAATCCTCCCCACCACCATGCTGCCAACGTCTTCCATTTTGAAGGACATAATTGAATGCTGTGTCTGCCTGCACAACTTGATGAGGACTCGTTATCCTAATCTCCACATTGGTATGGTGGATGAGGAAGATGAGCAGCACAACGTGGTACCAGGAAGCTGGAGACAACTTGCGCAGCTTGAAGATGTGAATGATATCTGAAGTTTCAATGACAGGCGGCTACGTTTTTATGCGATTCGGCGGTGTTCTGATGATGTCAGGGCTCATTTGAAGATCATTCGGAACGTTCTGACTGTATTCGAGGTGTATTCGATGTACATTCTAGCTGTATTCCAAGTGCAATCGAAATATTCCGATACGTTTGAAGCATATTCCACCTAAATTCCACCAGAAATCGAAATACATTCGAGGCACATTCGGGACATTCTTGCAGGATTTGAAGTGGCTTGCCTTTTCGATTCTCCCTCGAACACGTACAGACTGCTTAGAATGCAGTTAGAATGCAGTAAGAATACAGTTAGAATACTTAGAATGCAGTTGGAATACTAAGAATGCAATTAGAATGCAGTAAGAATACAGTTAGAATACTTAGAATGCAGTTAGAATACTTAGAATGCAATTAGAATGCAGTAAGAATACAGTTAGAATACTTAGAATGCAGTTAGAATACTTAGAATGCAGTTAGAATACTTAGAATGCAGTTAGAATGCAGTAAGAATGCAGTAAGAATACATAGAATGCAGTTAAAATACACTTAGAATGTACCTTGAAAGTTTCGAACATGTTCAAAACATTCGGGCATGTTGCAAGAATTGACACGCATAGTTGGAGTGCATACGAAATGGAGTAAGAAGTTTTAGAATGCAGTTCGAATTTCCAGGAATCTCCAGGAATTTTCATTCTGACGGCATTCCGGCTCATTCCTCCTCAAGTGTGAAGGGGGTATAAAGAATACTCATAACTAAATGATAATGTAGCTGATATATTATACGTTCTGAAGTGTACACAAATGCAAACTATGCACATGAGGTCTTTTTACGTATTATTCATATGTTCATTTCCTTGTGAGGCCAGTTCTGTCTGGTTCTAGAGGGTATCTTTCCACAGACTAGACTGGCTTCCTGATGTATGATAAAAGCTCAATTACACATCTTGGCGTGTGACTAGAAACAAACTTACACCAGTGCTATATATATATACTGCCACTGATGACTTCTCCTGGTACACACACACTGCACTTTTTGAAGTACAGTGCATCAACTAACAAACTCCTAAAACAGCAAATATGTGACAGCAAAGTCTTTTATTACACACTCGACCCTTCAGTCGTCAGGTTTGTATGCATTTATTTTCCACTTTCGCCTTCATCTTCATATTATCTATTTGACACATTATCGGATCGGTTTCCTACCAGTTCCTGTGACTTATTGAACTGTTACGTGGGTAATTATGTTGCTAGAATCAATAATCAAACTCATTGCATAACACAGTTAAACCTGCTGACCAGTGACTGTTGTTTTCTTCTTATTATACAACTGTGACCTGGATGTACACACGAACTGTATACTTTTTATTACATTTACCACTGAATATGTTGAATATTGCATATAATTCATACGAATATGGTGACGTTTTGTCATCTTTTTAAATCCCGTTTTGATAAGATTGTCAGACATTCAAAGTTACTTACAGCATAAAAACACAATTGCACCGTGAATCCACATGTCTTAGCGACAATATTTCCTTTGGCAGATCACCTGTAAAACAATGAAATGTATTCATTATTGAAGCACAAAGCTGATATATGTTTTATAAAATTATCGCGCCTAATGTCTTTTTAATTATTAATGATTATATAAGTATATTATTCTTCCTTCGGCTGTATTGTTCTTATCAGTGATAACATTTAAAAAGATTCTTGCTAGTCTTTAGTCTATATCTGTAAAACTCAATGTACGTCTTATTGTAGTCACGGTATGGCTGAAATAGAACCAACGTTACTGACGAAATCGAGGTACACATATTTGCCATTGTGTTTCCTTAATCTTGGCAAATATTGCTGAGATACATCTGGTGCTGTGTGCCGAAGAAGTTTATCGCTATCAGTTTCCATAATGTCCTCTGGGTTGTACAAGCATATCAAAAAGCGGGAACGACCAACAAGTATGTATACGTTAGCACCCTCCTCAAGGGGGTGTAGGGGAGATGGGTGTGTGTGTGTGTGTGTGTGTGTGTGGTGCTAACCTACTTATACCACATGGGCGCCGAATGGACTCGCCCAGTGCTTGTTGCACGTGCGTTACCTGCACCGCCAAGGCTGTTATCCACATATCAACCTCTGCACGTGCAGATAGAAGATTGATACGCAGAAAATCACCCTGCCAGAACAATGGACATAACATACCCTAGTGGTATAAGTGCCAATAGCGATCATCCTTTAACAAGTTGTTGGCCAGTCTGCATATCCCATTTTCATTTTGATAAAAATCAACACATTGAAAGTTACGAGTCGGGGGAACTTGTCCTTAGAAGCATATAGAAAACCTAAGTTGCTCACAATGCAATACACATTGCACACTCAGCACAGTGCTCGTTCAGAGAGTCTTAACAAACTGAGCCTGTGTTGATATGATATGATAAGACAGGACGGGCATGACAGAAGTATTTGCGTCTTTGATTGTGGCATTGTGCATGACAGTGTGTCCTTTCCAAAGGTATTCCGGAATTTCCCTAAGTGAGTTAAGATTATAAATCACATCGGCAGTATTTCAACCATATCATGACTAAAATAGCTCATAGCAAATAAAGTTAAACTATAAAAGCCTGTCAAGAAAGGGACAGTTTCCTAAGTACGTATCAGCCTGATCTGCTGAGAAATTGTCGATAAGGTCCTCCCACAAGTAAACTGACTGATGTCAAGTAAGTAGTAGGGGAATAGGGGTTTTAGACCAGATATTTTCGCGAGCCCTACGCATTATGAAAATATCGCTGAATAATGAGAATCATCATAGAATGTCCTTGGGTGTATAAGGGAAATGCATGTTTAAGAGATATTCACTGTTCAGTGAGCATGGGGTCAGCTGGGATAAAGGCTAAATATCCAACAGGTCTGTATGTTCTCGGCTCGGTCTGTCTTTGAGGTAATACACATTGGGTTCCTCGTCTTTGATGTCCACTCATTGTACGTTTTCATTGACCATATTGGATCCGTAGCACGGTTTCTACTGAAGACAACCATCCCACGAAATCATCTAGAAAAAGTTTTCTCTCAAGAAATTCAACAAGTTTGAAGATTAAACATTTTGTTCTGTGGAAGGCGTGTTACAGTCACGCCATTGGTCCAAGTGGAGTACAACAGTTCCAAGAAGGACAACTCTAGTCGGAATCCGAGTCAGTGGGAAGAATACGCCTCTTTGGAGCAGATGGTCGACTGACAGATTAGTCATTCGAGATGTTGAGGTGAAATACACCACCATAAATTTGACCTGAGAATAGTGTATGTACGGAAGGAAGATTTACAGCATGCATCAAAGACTGTGACACCGTGGCAGACTCACTTGTCACACTTCCAGGTAACACCTTTAGTCGGTATGTTGCTGCTTCTATTTCCCCCGAATTCAGTTTCAGCAACAAACAGGTTGTAGGAATTCAAGGGCTGTAAAATTATTATCACTCTTCCTATTTGGTCACCGTCAACTTTAACTAGGTCAATGTCTTTGATCGGGGTTAGCCTAATGGCGGCCATGATTGTTTACAAACAATGCAAATGATTTTTTTTTTTTTAGGGTTATGTGTCTTAAAAGACTAGTATTTATAACGCAATTTTATTGCAAAATAATAGTGTCTAATAGAAAGAATATTCATATTGTTTAACCTTTGTTTCAAATCTCGGAATGTGTGAATGCAGCACGTTCTAATTATCAATGAAACGTTAAAAGATGTCAATGAACTTGTTTTTTTTAAGCCAAGCTTTAGCAACGCTTCGGAGGCTTTGGCGAGTCTGGCGGCTTTGGTGAGTTTAGGGATGGCGCCCGTGCCTTTCCACTATCGGTGTTGGCAGTAGTACATTTTCGCCATTCATATTGGATTTATTATTTTTTATTGTTTAATACAAGTGTGTCAGTAGGCGTAAGTTGTGACACCATCATAGGCAATCCATCTTTTCATGTCCATGGGAGACAGCAACGTCTTGGTAATTCTCAGACCATATAGCTTGTGTTTTATCGCTTCTCAGCATTTTCATTTCGTGTTTGTAGGTCTGTTTCTAAAACAGGGCCTCTTTGAATCGATCGTGCTTGATGTGTTTTTTCGCCAAGTAGTTTTTCACGCCTTTCGCTTTTCTGATTTCGTCGTGGTCCGCTTTCTTGGTGGAATACATTCTGGATCTCCAGCTGACGTATCCCACGATCGGTGTGCCCGCGCATTCGTCTCTCATTCGTCCGAGAAACTTTTTGTTGACTTCGCTGTGCAGTGGATGGTCTTGGGGATAATTGCTCCTGTCGTACACGTTCGCGTTTCTCCATTTCTGCGTACACGTCCTCGGTACGAATTTCCATCAGTAGTGACTACGTGTACAGCACCTCGCATCGATCGCCGTACTGTGTTTTGAGTTCGTTGTAATAAAGGTCATGCATCAAGTGTTTGGGTAAGTCCAGGATGCTCATCCCCACTTAAACAGGCCAGTTGAATTTGATGTGGCGTTTGTTCATGTGCAGCGCCACCAAGTCGCCATCAAATACCTTGCTTTGTTTGGAAGCCGGGCTGGCTATCAGTTTCCTGGGGTTTTTTCCTTGTGAGCTCGGACTAACTTCACGTCTAGTCGTTTTTGCAGATTTTCGATCGTTTTGCCAAACACCAAGTTGTTCATGACTTTGTAGAGATTTTTTCGAAATCACTGGTGGCTAGTTTTCGCAAATCTGTTTTCATTCAGATGTACTGGTCCATCCACAGACTTTAATCGAATTGCAGTGCTCGATGTATTTTCTTCAGCTTCATTCCCAAAGACATGTACAGCTGCAGGTTTCTGTAGTGCACGATGTACGTTTTCTTGTTCATCATTATGGGCACAAGTTTTTCGATCTTATCCAGTTTACTTTTGCCTTGCAAGTTTTGCTAGGTTGGGGGACGGCCAGTCTTGATTCACCGCCAACCTCTTGGGATCCAGCGGGTAGCTGTTGTGTGGGCAATGTATCTCTGTATGATAATCCAAGTCTACTTTGAGTATGTAGCCGACTTTCGAATCCGGAGCAATGCTAGCGACGTCGTCGGTCTCGCACGCGTAACGCCTGGCAGACATTCTCGATAAACAGTTGCATGTCATAGTCAGTCAAAAATTCCAATTCCCTGCCAGTCTTTTTCAACAAGGTGTCCCAGAAAAAGCCAGGACTGGTTTAATACCAGGTGGGACCCAGGTCGTATTGTTTCAAACAGGTTTTTCTGAATATCTCGAATATGTCGGCCAACAACAGCATGTCCGTGTTTTAAGTAAGGATCGAGGTAATCACCTTAGTAAGTCTTGCAGCCCAGTTTGTCCTACACTTTTATTACGTGCAAGTACTCGTCCTCCCTGATACCCGAGTCGGTCAAGCGGTTTCCTCGAACCTATGTACTTGTATGGATAAATGATTTTTCTCAGCAGCATAGACTGAGTCAACGAGGTGGTGTATAAATTGGTTTTGTAGGAGGCCTCGGGGTCGTTTGCTTTCACCAGATTGTTTAGCGACAACAGAAAGAACTTGAAACTATCTATGAATTTCAGACCGTCCAGCGAGAACGAGATGGCTTGCATGATGAGGTTCGAATTGTATCCTTGAAGGTTGTGCAGCACCACGGGGATGGGTATTATTTTGGGATCGATTTTCAGTTTCAAGTTGAACGCATTGGGTGCGTCGCAGTTGACTGAGGGTCATGCGCATGGGGAAGATTCTGTATAATTTTTTCCTGATGATTCTATCGGGTGCATCTGGACCTCGGTAGAGGTTTTTCCATCGCATCAGACGACCACGTAACCAAACCCAAAAGCCTCATGTTTTTGTTCTGTGTAAGTGAAACTCCGCTCCGTGTGTCATCTTGTTCAACGGGGTTTTTTGATGAGGGCCTCGAAATCTGGATATATCACGTAGGGCACTGGCATTTGTTTCTGGTGGTTGACAAATTTTAAAATGTTGCCGTCTTCCTTGGGCATGTCGATCCTGATCGCTGTCTGCCCCACGCGTAAGCAGTACCCTCTGTGCACTTCCAACAGGTCGGCACATGTAGCCATGCAGGCATTGTTCACAGAAGTGTTGTTTCCCTTATATTTTGATTGGTCGTTCAACAGCCTGTTCAAACTGTTAATCCCGACATAATGATAATTTTCGTTTTTACGAGTCATAAATACACTGAGCCTGCGTACGGCATTGGGAGAATTGCACACCTTCATGTCCGAACACGTTGATGGCCAAATGTGCTCGATGTGCTTGTCCGCTCACTGTGTGTGGAGTGACATTTTAACCGTGAGCTGGTACTTCATGGATTTCAGATGGCTCAGCTCCTCCTCAAGCTTGCTGGCTATCAGCGGCCTGATGCAATCAATATCGATGTTCAAGACGACGGCCATCTGCCAGCCTCACAGATACTTACCCACGACGTGTTCTGCCGGCACGAATCTCAGTTCGACCGGCTTGCTGTCCTCTAGCAATGTGATCAGCTCAGCTTTGCGAAGCTTGGAGTACCCGCACAGGCCGACCTTTTGGCACTTGGTGTTTCAGTTGTTTCA